TTTTAAAATTTTACTTCATATAATCCTCAAAGCAGAGAGGGGTGAGTGTCATCTGAGTATAAGAAATTTTTTGTTCTACTGCATCATTATGATTTTTAATGTAGCATTTTAATTTTTTACTTTGCAATACTTTTTAAAAATCTTACCTACTTTAGTTGATAGGACTTTCATTAACTGTAAAATTTTATACCACTTGAATAATTTCATGTTTCCATTACCATCTTCTTAAAATAGCTCAAGTGATGGCTAAGGCATTATTCATTCTAGTCACAAGTTAATGTTGTTTAAATTCTGTTAGTGAAATGTATTAAAAAAATTCTTTATGCATTTTTCCACTCTTCATGTTTTTAGCTATGCAGGGTTTAAAGGCCAGGTAGAATATATGAATACTATATGCATTCTGAGAAAAATAATTTACCGAAACTAGATAAAGCAAAACACTTTTACAAAGAATTGGGTACCCCTTATTATAGTTGGTGGTTGTGTACATTGATATATTATTTTTGGAGGGCAGTTTTCCCATTTGTATGAAAATCCCTGAAATATTTAGCATTTGACTCAATTACACTTTGAGGAGTTATCTTAGGAAAACGACACAAAAAAAGATGTCATTGCAGCACTATTTATTATAGAGGAAAAATCTAAATTTCTAGCAATAATAGCATATCTATAATTTCAGAAATCATGTTTTCAAAGATCACTTCATGGCTGGGCAAGATGACTACATATAATTATTAGGTAAAATTAAATATACACACACATACACACACACACAGAGGCAGAGAATTATCCCATTTATCTCTGAGTGTGTGAGGAGTGGGGCAGGAGCTGGGTGGGGGAATATGGAAGAAAATTTGCCAGTGAGGGGGCCTGGGTGGCTCAGTCACTTTAAGTGTCTGACTCTTGATTTCAGCTCAGGTCATAACCTCAGGGTCATAGGATCAAGCCCCACGTCAGGCTCCATGCTTGGTGTGGGATCTGCTTGAGGTTCTCTTTCTCCTTCTGCCTCTCCGCCTGTTCACACTCTCTCTAAATTAATTAATTAGTTAGTTAACATTAATTAAATCTTTTTTAAAGAAGAAGAAAATTTGCCAGTGATTATTAGAGTTGTGGGATGATGGATAATTTTTACTTCTCATTTTCTATTTTTACCATCACAAATTTCTGTAATGCCTACATATAGCTTTTATTTCAATAGCTAGATGCTGGTTCCCAGAGCAGGTAGATTAGGTAAACAGCCCTCGTTAGAAAATGCTTTCTAAAAAGAGGCTGTAAGAAGGCTAAAGCTTGTTTACAGCTGCTGTTTCTCATTAGCCAGTTCGTTATCATTGCTGCACTTCACAGCTTGCTCTATGATGTAGAAATTCTCTAGCAAGGTTGGATACTTCCTTGGTGTTCAGTAGAAGGGTTTACTTTCCTGGAGAAAAAATATTCTCCTTCTTTCTCAAGTCCCTCCCATGCTACCATACACCTTCTCATCATAAATCCTTGGCTTAAAACTCACGGTAGGCTCTAGGCTCCTTGTCTGGAGGCAGGAAGATCTGTTAGGGGACTGCTGCAATAGTCTGGGCGAGAAATGATAAATCTAAACCAAGGCAGTGGCTGTGTGTGTGTGTGTGTGTGTGTGTGTGTGTGTGTGTGGCTGAGCAGGAGATTCAATTAGCCCACACAGCCCACATGCATCCTCTGCCTAGAAGGATTTGCTCAACCAGATCCTCCGATCCTTCAAGTTTCCATTCAAATGCCTCCTTCTCCATAAAATCCTCCTTGTGCCCATAACTGAAAATCTTTTCATCTCCTTTTATTTTCATTTTTTACCTCTTTTGTATATACATATACTTTTCATTTTGAAACAATCTAACGTACAGGGGGAAAAAAAACGCAGTTATAGTACAAAGAACTTTTTTCTTAAACCATTTGAGAGTAAGTTACCAAGTTAATAATGCCCCACCACCCCTGAATACTTTAGTATGTATTTCTACCCAAAAAAAAGGCATTCTCTACATAACTGCAGTACAACCATCAAAATCAGAAAATTAGTACTGAAACATTAATACTATAATCCTTACTCCAGTAATGTTCTTTACAGTAAATAGATCCTATTTGGAGTCAAGTGTACTTAATTACCATGTCTCTTTAATCTCATTCACTCTGGAACAGTGTCTCAGTCTTAACTCTCATGATCTTGATACTAGAAAACTATGGTCCAGTAGAACATGCACTATTTTGGGTTTGTCTGGTGTTTCCTCATGACTCATCTAGGTTATGCATCTTTAGTAAAAATATCACAGAAGTTATGTTATTTTCCTATTAAATGGTACATGAATGCAATTTGTTCTCTTACTGCTTATGTTTACACTGATCACTTGATTGAGATGATTTCTGCCAGTCTTCTCAACTCTGAAGTTACTCTTTTCCCTATGTAATTAATAATATTCCATGGTGATGTACTTTGAGACTTTTATTCATTCATGTATTTTTATCAGTATGAACTCACTGTTCATTTTATTTGATAAGTTATAATCCAATACTATAATTATTTATTTGAAGTTCAAACTGACACAGATTGGGCCAGTGGGAGACTGTTCAAAATGGTTCTTGTGTCCTTTGACTCATCTCATCATTCTTTGAGCATTTCCTTGTTTTGTGGTATAAGATGTTTCAAGCTCATTTGTACTTTCTTTGTCCCAGACCTGGAATCATCCATTTCTACAAGGACTTCTGGCTCCTGTAAGAATGGTATTTAGAAGCCAAGTTCTCAGCCCTAGGAGTTCTTACTGCTTTTGCAGTATCAGTGCTCCCAGGACCACAAAGTGGACAGAGATTAGGAATCTTGGAATATGTGTATGTGCACATACATACAAATCTACACACATTTACATCTATAGTTATTAAGACATCAGTCTAAGGGCGCCTGGGTGGCTCAGTCGTTAAGCGTCTGCCTTCAGCTCAGGTCATGATCCCAGGGTCCTGGGATCGAGTCCCACACCGGGCTCCCTGCTCGGCGGGAAGCCTGCTTCTCCCTCTCCCACTCCCTGTGCTTGTGTTCCTGCTCTCGCTGTCTCTCTCTCTGTCAAATAAATAAATAAAATCTTAAAAAAAAAAAAAGACATCGTTCTATATATTCTGAAAACCTTGAGTTTTCACAATTAAGTCTTCTAACTCCACTTTTATTCCAGCTTCTCCCTTTCCATATTTGCAATTCCTTTTTCCAAAGGTGAGAAACCTGGCTCCCCTGAACTTTAATATAATTACTTATTTAAACACTTCCCTTATATGTAACCAGTCTCTCACCTTTGAAACAACCACCTCCCTCACGTAGATGTCCTCCTTACTCCACTCAGGCCATGAAAGCACATGGATGTTCTCCCCACCCTGTTCAGGCACAAAACCTCGTGCCAAGTTACTCTACATACCCCCTTCCCTGTATACCTTCTTCAACCTGTTCTATCTCTAACACCCCCATGCCAGGCCACTGGCCCCCATGTGAATGCCAACTTTACCCTGCTTGGGCTCCAATACCCACCCCAGGCCATCCTACATGTGTACCCTTTCACTCTGCCAGGCTGCCCCATACATGGGCATCCTCTTCACTCTGTTTATAAATAATGAAATTTTTAAGTTAAAGGAGACACTGGTAGAACTTTTAGTCTAAGGACATTCTAATACCTTGAAGTCCTTAGCCAAACCCTAACTTTATTAGAATATGTGAAACATACTCAAGGAATAGGGATTCCTCCTTTTCTACCCGCAAGGCCGGTCATCAATGTAATCATTGTTTAAAAGAGAAAGTGTATCAGTTTTTCATTATTAAATATCACACACATGTACAACACACTCATACTCTTTCACATCACTCATTTTCCTCTGAAGATCAAAAATCGTCAAAAGAGAATAAAATTATTAGTATTTTTAATGAAAAGCACTGACTATCACATTCTGTTGCTAGAAAGATTCTTCTGATGTAACAGGAATAATGGCAACAACCAAGGGCATACAAGGAAGTTATTAGGGAAGACAGAAGGAAGGAGAGAGATGAGAAAATAAGAAAGTGAAAAGGTAGGAACAGGGAAGAAAGAAAGAGGAGACCTAAGAGAGAAAAGGCAGAAGAGGGAGGCTAACTGGGAGACACGTGAAAAGACAGTGGCAGGATGCCATTCAGGAGAGTCTGACTTGGCCACCAAATCCCATGGCAAAGGGCTCTAACCCTGTAATCAGCCCCAAAGCAGTGTCCCTGTCAGAATGAAAACATATCCTCTACTCCAAGATTGCTGACAAGTAATGAAGAAACAGTTACTTCGTACACTTGGCTAATACACAACTGAATGAAACTGACATCTAGAAGTTTGGTACAGCCAACTTCTGGATTTTTATCTATATATTTGCTTAATGACACCTTTAAATGATTCTTATTTTGAGAGTCACTGGAAACTACACAAGTATCAACGTCTGCAAATGGTGAGAAGGTTCTCGGTCAAAACTTCAGTGAGGCAAAATATGGATAATATATGTATAAGCGGAACACTTGCAATGTTTAACATCTCACCTGATTTTGCTGCTTTGATAAAGAAACTACATATCCTGTAAATTATGATGTCAATGTTTCAGATTCAATCCCCTACCAGCCATCAGAAAGTGTTATCTAGTCTTGTCTAGTGTTATGGTTCTTGTCAAAACCAGGGTATTAAACCATTCCCTTTTTAAAAAGTGTAACAGAATATAAACTTTTTCTCTATTACACATATGGTTGCTGGTTTTCTAAAAAGTGTTCTTGAAACACAATAAAACTTAAGGCAAAACTTTTAGAGAAAAGGAATTCCCATTCTCAGAGTAACTCAATAGAGAGTTAATTCGTGGTTTAGGTTAATTGGCAGATATTTTTAGCTGAGGTCAATCTTTATATACTTCCTACAGGTGCTATTATAGATACTATTGAAAAGATCAATAGAGAACATTAGTTACCTTCCCAACACCCATTTCTCTTTCTTCCTTCCCAATAGAATCCTGATTTTCTTTGGATAGTGTTGCCCTCCCCCACTCCACCCCAACCCAGTGACTGAGGAAGAACAGACCTCACTGTCAAGTTGTTCCTGCTTCATTGAAAGCACTCAGCACATGGCATTGCTCTGGTCCCTGTTGTAAGTAGAGAAGTCACTTGGTCCAATTATAGTTGGGGGAAAGGGTTTTCTCTCATTTAGGATATGAATAAGTATGTATGTTGCATCAGATAGTGCTGGTAACTATTTTATAACCTTAAGAGAAGCAAGTCTAAATTCAACACTGTCACACTGAGGATTACAGAGCAGAAATATAGGAAGAATATGGATTCTTGATGACCATCATTGACTTACTAAGTCACCAACCTGACCAGAACTAATTCTACTTCTGCACTTTCTGGTTATGTAAGATAATAAACTTTTTTACTATATGATTTTTTCTTGAATTGGGATTTTGTATTTGCAGCCAAAAGCATCCTAGTTGATGAAACCATGTCTCAGCTCCAGTATGAAAGCCAGAATTGCAGGGAGACATCGATGCCAAACTTGCAGTGCTGGGAAAAGTGCTTTTATAGGTGACAGTCAAGAGTTACAAGGCCTTCTCAGTTTCCCTACAGAAAGAAATCCGAAAATAATTGGCAGTACTGGAGATTTCTCTCACAGATTCCTTCTATTTAAACAACTTTAAAACTTAAATATGGACTCATAGTCCTTTCTTTTCTGGCATAGAGGAAATCAATAATGCCAGCTTTGCAAAGGTAAACTTATTGATTTGAGGACAAAGGAAATGATGCTATATAAATTCAACCCAAAAGAGTCCTGGAAAATTCTGATATTTTTTTATAACAACCTACCTTTGAGTTACAGTTTTTAAGCACTGGCTGCCGTTAAAATCAAAATTTCAAAGTCAACTTAGGGCCCAAGATAACTTTCATGTTGCTATGACAACCTCTTTTTCCAGTTTAACATTAAGTTAAACATCAAGTTTAACCTTAATTTGGGCAGAGTTAATATTTACTTTGGGAGTTGTGGGGGAGGGGGGAGTTGTACAAATTAGATTTATTTAAATTATTTCCAGAAAATCACTGTTAGATTTTATGCAATCTTTTCCATAAATAAAATATCCTGTGATCAAAATGTGATGAAAATCAATTTCCAGTTTAGGGCACCTGGGTGGCTCAGTTGGTAAAGTTAAGCGTCTGCCTTTGGCTCTGGTCATGATCTCATTGGTCCCGGGATTGAGCCCCCTGTCGGGCTCCCTACTTAGCTTCTCCCTCTGCCTCCCCCACCCACCATGTTCTCTCTCTCTCTTTCTCTCTCTCTCAAATAAATAAATATTTAAGAAAAATCAATTTCCAGTTTAGTAAAATAAATCATATGCAAATTTGTTACATATATGTTTTATATACTGTTCTGAGGAGAAAAATTCTATTTTCATCTAATTCACAAAGGAGTCATAACTCAAAAAGTTAAAATTATTGCCGGAGACTGAATAATTACCGTAGGTGGTCAGAGAATTTATCATGAAAAAGGGAAAGGAGATAAAAGGAATAAAATAAGGCGTATTTTTAAAGTTTAGTCATGGTAAATCTAAGGAAGGACAGAGACAAGGAAAGTGCCTGCTGGCTATGACAAGTGGTTGTATATATATTTGAATCTGTTACAGTTCGTTGTGGGAAACACAACAAACACATAGGAAGCCACTAGAGCCTTTAAGATATTTCATGACAGTCTGTTGTGGTGCGTGCACAAATACGATGTGTATCTGTCAGTCCGAGTCCTGGCAGGAAACCCATACACAATCAAAAAGGGTAGGAAGAAATTTAAACAAAAGGAATGCAGACCCCTCCTCGACTTACAATGGGGTTACGTCCAGATAAACCGAAACTATCCTAAGTGAAAAATGCGCTTCATATACCTAGCGTCAGAGCCTAGCTTAGCCTCCCTTAAACAGGCTCAGAACACTTAGGTTAGCCTACAGGTGGGCAAGATCATCTAACACAAAGCCTGTTTTATAATACAGTGTTGACTCACATGTGATGGAGGAATGCTGTACTGGAAGGCAGCTATGCTCACCACTATACCACCAACACTAAATGCTGTACTGGAAGTGAACAACAGAATGGTTGTGTAAGTGTGCCCGTTGTTCCCCCTCATGCTCGCCTGGCTGGCTGGGAGCTGTGGCTACCACCGTTGCTGCCCAGGGTCAGGAGAGAGCTCCGTACCACAGGCCACTGACCCGGAAAAGATCAAAATTCAAAAAGTGGAGAACAGTTTCTAGTGAATGAGTATCGCTTTTGCACCGTCGTTAAATTGAAGAATCGTAAGTCCGACCATCATAAATCGGGGACCACCTATATTTACAAAAAAGCAGACAGGGAAGCTGGAGGGCTGATGAAGGAGCCTAGGACTGACAGCAGGAAAAGCTATCTGCACTCCTAAACGAGAAGAGGCAAAGGAGGACGTTTTCTCAGAAGCTAAACTAGTGAGACAAGCGCACCTGACAGGAGCTATGACCTTAGGTGAGGGATGCAGAAACTCCCAAACAGCAGCCCCACGGGAAAGAGGCCAGGAAAATAAACACACCATCCTCATTCTCTCCCCATCCTCTGACTTCCTTGCCAAAGCCTTTCGTTGACTAAATCCACACAAAAACTGAGCAAAGAGGAGCTAGACTATCCAGTCTGAAGAGGCCAGACCCTGAGGCCCCAAATAGGGTCAAGGGTGGAAAAGGAATCTGACAGAGCAAACAGATACCCCCCAACACAGACACTGCCCAAATAACAACACATGGGGGCAACTAAAAGATGGAGACATTTGGTTCTGCAACAGCTTTGGTACACATTTTGGGCTAAGGTGTATATTTTAGAATCCTTTCCCTTTTGTTAATGTTAGTTTTTAATCATTATACTTTATGTTGACAACTTTTGAATATAAACAAATACATATTTCATAATCATTAACGTTGTAACAGTAAAGACAATCCTTTTTCCCTCAGGCAAAAATACCCTTCTAGTTCCATAAACCTGGCTCGACGTTATCATGGTCAAAGAGGGAAGTGTTTGTGTAAACTTAAGACAGTTTGTGTTGACTCCATCTCCAAACTATACTCTTTCACACTGGATTCATATTTCTCTTTTGAATTGTATGAACATAAATTGTGTGTGGAGTGTGGGTAAGTGTGTAGGTATAGTTTACGGAGTTGACCACTGGAAAGTCCATGTACACAGATGATCTCAAATGCCACCACCAGCTCATCATGTCTGTCTTTTCAGGAACTGATTAAATAGGTTGTGTGGTGCAAATGGAAAGTGTTCTGGACTTTAGGTCTGGAGGCACTGGCTATGATCAGTCTTTTCATTAACAAGCTGTAGGACTCTGGCAAGTCCCTTCACCAGCTTCTTTTATTTCCATAAAAGGGGTTGAGGCACAGAGTCTCTGATGTCACTTCCAGCTTTAAAATTCTGTGGTTCTCATGCATGTCCCTAATTACCATGCCTAATAGGAACCATCAGTTTTGCTGCTTCTTGATTGCTTTAATTTGAAAGGGCCTTTTTCAAACTGACATAGAGAATGCTAAATACGCTATTTTAAATTAAAATTTGGATAAAGAAACTAGCAGATGACATTAAAACACAGAAAATCCTCAGTGACTTTTTGAGTCTAACAATTACAGCTTCCCATGAACCTTAACATTTCCCTGAATTGCAAAAATTATGTTTACCATTTCACAGGTAAATATTTACATGCCTAAGTAATGATTCCACAAAGCTATGGGAAATGAAGAGGAAAATTTATGCTCTAGAGTAGACATGTACTTTGTAATTCAGCTCCACTGAAGAAACTCTCCTTAATATCCTTAATATCTTCTTCAATGTCCCAGAACAAAGGAAAGAGCTATTTGTCCACTGCGAAGGCTGAAGTATTCCATGCAAGCTGTCAGATGGGTATTCAAAAAACATTACTGCATTGTATAAATTCCTATGTATTTAATACCTACTATACACTGTATTAAGTGCATTATGTGTATTGTTTAATTCTCACAACTGTCCTTTGACATTATCTCCAATTTTCTGGTCTCAGAAAAGTCAAGTACCTTAACCATAGACAGCAGCTAGTAGGGGACAGAGCCAGCATTTGAACCTATGATTCTAAAGCCAAGACCTTCATTCTTGTTACTCCGTTGTCTCTGGCAACACTGGCCAGACACATCCCCCACATTTCAAATACTTCATTGTTTTTCATAGATAATGAAACTGTTCACTTAACTTTGCTCTCTCCCTTGAGTGATGCCTCTGCACAGTGAGCCCCTCCACATGTCCCTCCAGCAACATCCACCAATCCCTCAGGAATGAGAATGAAATAGGCTTGGCCTCAAATATCAGTGCTCCCTGTAACAGGGACAATTGACACATCAATGTAGCATGTCTTTACGCATGAAAAGCCCTATCTCTTTTCTCTCTTCTTAATTATAGACCACATTTTTTCATAAGTATCTACCTCCTCTCTCCTTCTGCTGTAAGTGTCCAATTGTCCTGTATCCAATTCTCTCTAGAAGACATCTACCTTCTAAATGTACTGTAGAAAATTTCTGACCTTTACTGGTCTTTGAGAAATAAAGAAAGATTAGAGGCACTGCCCTAGACCACTCCACTTCTGTCTTAGACTGGATCTCCTGAAAACATTCTGAGATGAAAAATTGTGTGCATAATGTTGGTTGGAGAGTGCTCTCAGGAGATACACCTGCAAAGAAGTGAGGAAAGAACTGAGGGAAGGAGGACCCAGGGATGGGTCAGATCTGGAAAGGGGTCTGGGATGGAGAAGCATGGAATGCTCTACACCCTGTCAGACTGGTGGACCTAACTTGTGTGTTCAGTTTAATTACCTGTTTCTCTTCCAGACAAAGGGTTTTTAAGGTTCTAAAGGCCAGTCTGAAATCTGACTATGCAGAATTTAAAAGATCCTGAGATTTCTTTCCTGGGAAAATAAATGGAATAAAGAAAGATTATGAAATATGAAAGTTCTAAAAATAATAGCCTGAAACTGGGTAATTTGAATGAAAGCTAGTCAAATCTGTATGGAATATAGCATATTACTGATTCATTATCACATCACATAATTTAATTATATTCTACTTACCA